TTTTTGCATCCTGTGGAGTAATTTTATGATAAATGGGGCTCAGGAACTTGGGTTTTTTAGGCTAGAAAGACAAATTTCACTACCCGCCATAAGGTCCCTTTTGTCAATTATGGTCACAAATCGTTTAAGATTTATCCTTGTAGCACCAGTCATTATTGAGATACAGACCGACAGCTGGATTGACAGGACTAACTTTCTTGATGATAGAGATGAAGATGAAAAAAGGTGGCTGAACAAAACGGCGGTTTTCCCAATATTTGACTTTTCACTCAGACAAGGTTTAGAGCAAATTAGTGGTACCATTGGAGTCCCTTGGTCAAGATCAGGTCCTATAAGAAGTCTGGTAAGCATAGGAGCTCGTTTTCCTTGTATAGCAAAGCTGCAAAAGTCGTGGCAGTCATTTGAAGAGGGGTGAAATCAACTTAGTAACGCGGTACTAGAATGTAGAACATTAATTGAAGAGGGGTGAATTCAACTTAGTGATGCGGTACTAGAATGTAGAACATTAAAGGAGAAAGCCTAAGCAAGCTATAGATTATGTGCTGTATGATCTTCATGCAGATATATAAGGAAAAGAGCAAGCAAAGCAATTCCACAAGTCTGTAGATATTGTTGCCTTAAATTTTCTCCATCACTTTTGCAATCTCTGAAGCAATTAAAGATATCTTGCTCATTGTTAGAAGCAGTGACTAAATAAATCATATTTGAAGAAGATTGTGCCAAAGACTGATTGTACATCTTCTTTGTTAACCTAGGCTTCCTGCTACAGAAGAAACATCTCCTACAATAGTCTGAATAGATGTCATGATGCAGATAGCTAGCTACAGCTTTCTCACTTGAGTTGCTTCACTAGAGTCCTTTATATATATCAAGAAAAAAGATTCTATATCTGCCTTTATAGCCTTTCTTTTTGCTAGAGAAGTCTTTGGACAGCAGTTTTGTCTTATCTTGCTTTCCATTTGCTGCATAGCTTCACAGGTGCCATTTTATTTCATTGTGACCACACCCACTTTCAATAAAAATAGATATTAAATAGGCTATTTAACATTAATAATAGTTAGACGATCCTATGGTCCCTACAAACGTTTTCTCACCTTAGTGGTGTGATAAGTTGGTTTCTCTTATTAGCAATGTTCATAAAACAAAACTCCAAAATCTCTTCACAATCTAAAATCTATTGTTAAAGCACATTCACTTATATATACACACGAGAGATTGTCCAGACACTTCTCAGAAGACTCTGGAAGCATCCCCAACTAAGTAGATACATACATAAAACAGGCACAAATTTAAGGTTCCAGAGAGTTTCGTAACTAACTAGAAGAAACTACACACCACATTAACACACTAACACTTAGTTAAGTAAACACAAATAATTAAGGTAAAAGTTAATTACAAGTTAATAATCCTAGTTCATCACAAGTGGCATGAGCTCAGGCTCGCTCCAAATTTATTCTATACCCACCTATATTGGATGGCAAGAGATGCTGGAAATGTATGTCCTGAATTCTGATTTCAAGCTTTATATCTTTGAAACAAATGAAAAGGCATTAAGAGAAGCTGAAAGAAGGAATAAATAAAATCCTGATTTGTTGTATGAGATAGATATTGACGAGACCGCATCTTGCTTGTCACTGATTCTGCACGTTTAATTCACTAGAATCCTGTATATCACTGGTATATTTGCCTTCTCTATTTTGCAACATTTAACAGCCCAATCAAATTAAAATTAGGATTGCTTTGGGCAATAAAATTCTCCATACGCATTCAGACTCAACCATCTTGCTGTCAAGTAGGTGATACACTTGCTTTATCAATACCATTATAATGTAGAAATTCGCAATCAGTCTGGAAGAGTGAGTGTTTGCATCCATAAGTAAAGGTTAAGGTCTTGTTATACATTGCAGTTGACATCCAAACTGATATTATAATAAACACAACATATATTTATATACAAAATTTATCATGAATAAGTCATAAGTTCTACTTTGAAATGACTAAACCCACTATAGTACTCTTCTATAAGACAAACAGTCAATACAAACCAAATGAAGGAGTTGACCATGAATAGCAGTTGAGTTAAAAGAGGAAAGCAAACTTGACAATCCATGACAGTGAGGTAAATGTAGGAGGCATAGAAGCACTGAACAAGGTAGATGTCTCATTGCCAGTAGCGACAGCAATGTTTCTACTGTTAACTACTAGGACAACAATATCATAAATAGAGGAGACAATGGTTGTTGCAAGTACTAATGATGAATGAGTAGGACATTAGGAAGGAGTGAGAGATTATGGCTGGGTTTACAAAGCAATGCAAAACACATCTGTTTTTAAGGCTAAGCTTAAAATGATACACTTTGAACACCATTTTTCTTTTCATAGAGTTCTATCATGTTTTCATTTGTTTTAGTGTAAACCAAGCATACAACTGGCACAAAACTACTTGTATCTGGATTGCATTCTTTTCCTTGAGGTGTAAATGTAGCCTCAAAAGGTGTTAACTGTGCTAGTTCATTTGGTAAATGCTGTAGTAAATGCTAATGAACCCAGCAAAGGTGAGTAGGACATAAAGCCCCCATTGGGAACAGCTGCCTGCAACATTTATGGTTACTTTGATCTTGTAAGCAACATGTTGCCAGAAATAGAACAGCCTTCTGTTTCTGGCAACATGTGGCTTACAAGATCAAAGTAACCACAAATGTTGCCTAGAGTAAACCATGAGATTGTCATGTACACTAGGCAACATTTTGCTAGCAACACTTGCAGTTACTTTGATCTGGTAAGCAACATGTTGCCAGAAGCTGTTTTGTTTCTAGCAAAATGCTGCTTACAAGATCAAAGTGACCACAAATTTTGCTGGCAACATGTTGCCTACTGTATGTAGGATTTAAGAACAGACAGTAGCCATTTGAGAACAAAAGCACAGTATGAGTGTAGAGAGTAACATGTTGCTGAGTGTGAGAGCCTATCATCAGTTGGTCCATGGGTGACAAGACAAAGATGATGGCTGTAAATGAGCAAGAAAGACAGTGAGTCGTTGAGGCCAAGAGAGCTGACAATGACTCGTCAGAGTATGATCTAAGAAATGTAGCAAGTTGAACAACAAAGTCTCATGGCAGGACACGTCCAATAGCTGCTAGTAGCCAGACTGAGTACACAAGAAAGAAAAACACCCAAACAGTGAAAAAACACCCAAACAGTGAGTTGCTGGAGTCGTCCGGCTGACTAATTTAGACATTAGATAAGAAATGCTATCAGTCTGGGAGAGTGAGTGTGAGCACCCATAGTCATAACTTTAATGTCTTGTTATGTAGCAAGGAAATAGTGCATTTAAACACTATTTTCTCCCTCTATGATCATGGCTCTTTAATGTAATGACTAGTCTCGCCACGCCCCTTCGCTGCCTGCAGAGGAAGGGTCTGGGGACACTGCTATCTAAAACTTGTGCTTCATGCCAGAGAATCTGGCGTCCCAATAAGATTGCTCAAACCACGTGTAGGACAAGCAGTCACGTTGCCGAAGAGCTCTGTTTATGACAAAAGAGGAAGAATGAGGACAAAATAAAGAAAGGAGGGAGCCTGTAATGCACCCTGGACTTCTTTCTCAAGGTTTAAGAGCAGCATTACTGTACTGCTCACTACATCGCTGCCATCGCACTTATGATGTAATAATACTGTCACGTGTTTATAATAAAACGTCATTGATAAGAAGTAAATACTATGGTGCTCTGTGAAGAGTCGCTGCCATCAAATTTGCAAGAGATGTCCAAGATACTGTATCCTCATCTTTCCTTAGCTGCAAAGCATCTATTCGAGCTATCTTGACTGATCTGTTCTCTTCTATCACATGACGTAGAGCCAACCACATGTTTTTTTTTGCACAAGTTTTAGATAGCAGTGTCCCCAGACCCTTCCTCCGCAGGTAGCGAAGGGGCGTGGCGAAACTATTTAATGACATACTCTACAGATCGTAAATAACAGAGATACTCCAAGTTACACAAAAGCTTCAAAAACATTTGCAAAACAGCTAATGGCAATTATTTTATCACAGATCTACAAGTATAAAACAACAACCAAATACTTAGCTGTAGCAACAAGAGAAGTGGTGCTACAACTTACAAAAAAGTCTATCCATTCAGGAGTCAAGCAATAAGTAAAATAGCTGTTTAGCTTGCTATTAATAGTACTACTTCATCTCATAACAGAACTTTTCCTTCTATTCCACTTAAGATGATTGACAATGAGCCACAACTCTCATTATTGCCCTCACCCACGCCATAGGCGTATAGGCAAGGGTACTGCTCTCCTTAATTACATGTACTTCCCCTGTAACTCTTCAATAGACCATTCCCATCTACTAGCTATGCTTAACTAACACACAGGGTTACATGAAATCGTATCTTTTCCCAACTTTTCCTTCCCAGATGATGAAATCTTTCTTTCCTTAGGGTCCTCCTGTCAACTTTTCTTGTCTTAGCTCGTGTCTTAGGGATCTTCTATAGATACATCATACATCTTCGTTAGACACATTCAATTTTACCTCAATTATTAAACAAGGTCCAACAAAAGTAACTTGAATTAAACAGCAATAAACAGTTAAACCCTGAAAAAGTGAACAGTCAACAGTCTTATAGCCGCACCTACTCAAATTAACTGTATGTATTCCTCACTTAATCATGTGAGACTAAATTATTCATAAGCTTAGTACATAAACTTTAATTTATAACAAAGTAATCATATTCATGGGACTGTAATAATATTCATTAATGCAATATTATATTCATAGCAAAACATTACTTCTGTGACTTGCTCGCAAAAGCTACAATAAATAGAATTATCAATAAAAGCAAAACTGCATTTAGTAATGGAAAATAGCAGTGCTATCTGGTAGAATCAATAATGGCAAGTTTCTTACTCGCTTATTTGTTGCAATCCATACTTCACTGAAGCTGCCATACACCAGGAAAATGAGAACATCAACTTCCATTGCAACAGAGTCTGGAATGAGAGAATGGAGATAAAATACAGTGCATGGGAAAAATTTGAAAGCAGCACAAGTCATACAACTTTTTATGGTCGGTTCAAGTTGAGTTGCCCAAGTACCATCCTTATAAATTTTTTAATCACTAATGCTAGCAAACTGAAATTTAGTATACTTGCAAAATGGGTTCTTCCGAAAATCTGTACCAATTTTTGAGTCTCTAGGTACTCTGGAAGGTTCTGAATGGGTTCTTCCACTCTAGGTCAAAGGGATAAACCATGATAAATCATTACGTGTAGGCTATATCACACTCGTGAATATCATTTGCATTTCATTACTATTAATGTTTTTTTATTCATAAAATAAAAGCAAACAGAAGGTCCTCTAGAGAAGCTGGTATTCAACTAGCAGACCTTGCTACTGGAAACATACTGCTACATCTGTCTACAGCCTTCTTGGTTCTAGTTTTTCTCCATCATCCTCAATCTAGGGTGATATCTTCCGTATCCGAGGTATTTGTGAACTTTGTAACAGAAAAAGGTCCAACCAGTGATAATTAAAGGTAGTAGTATCCAAAGCAAAGATAAAACAGATGACAAAGAGTCTTAGAGGTTAAGAAACCCTCAATAAAAGAGCTTGCTTGCACTGTACCACCATTTTTGGGTGAGGCTAGTAGTGACGTTTTGATGATGCAAAAATTGATTTACTTCCTGTGACAACTCAACTTGAACCGACTATGTTTCCTTTAAAGTTTTGGTATTTATACTTTAAAGACAGACATTACCGTATAGCCGGTAATTTTTGTGGGTTGCAAAGTTCATGGATTTCGTGGATTCCTTATTGATTTACGAAAATTAATTTAATACAGTACCTGCATGGTACACGTGGCAGAATTCACGAAATTAAAATCTGTGAATTGGATTTTTAGTAGATTTCGCGAATTATAGGACCCACAACAATTACCAGCCATACGGTATTATATGTACATGTATTAGAAAAGGCTTACTGATACTGCATTGTGTCCATTCTAGAGGTACAATGGTTAACAAAGAGTAGTCCCCCAACTCAATAGTCAACAATCAAATGATTAACACATGTCAGGCTGAGGTTGTCCTTGCCTCTAGCAAATCTATGATAAAACAGTCAAAAAATTATAGCTACATGTATATGACATCAACTAACTTTCTCTAACACAAGCATCAGGCAAGAGCAATGGTAATAATCATAAGGTACCTTTTGTCAATTATGGTCACATATTGTGAAAT